TGCAGTCCTGGTCCATTGTACTGCCAGTGAATTTCATTTATGAAAATGAGTCATGTTAACTGATTTAACCAGTGTCTGTTGCTAGTGGGGTGGGACTAAGTCCCTTGTACTGTGGCCACTTCTGGCCTATTGTACCAGCACCAGATGATAGGTGAGGGTGATTGTGGAGCAATTGGTGGAATGAAGATTGGCAGGGGAAACTGAAGTACTCGGAGGAAACCTGCCCCAGCGCCACTTTGTCCGCCACAAATCCCACTTGACCAGACCCGAGATCGAACCCAGGCCGCCGCGGTGGGAAGCCAGCAACTAACCGCTTGAGCTATGGTGCGGCCTAAGCGGCCTCCGTAGTCTAGAGGTAACGTTCCCACCTCATGACTCGTGGTACGCGGGTTCAAATACCCGGTGGAGGTCGTCGAATTTTTAAGGGCGGAAAAATTCAGGGAACAAGTCCTCCGGGAGGGACTTTAAGCTGTGTCCCCCGTGTCGTAAATTTACAGCACGTAAAAGAACCTCATATCCCCAAAGGGGATCACTGAGCCAAATTCCAGGACGTTTCCTGCTCAACAGTAGTCTCTAAGGCCTCTGATAGATGGGGGAAGCATTATAGATACCGCTAAGCAAGTGGCCGAACTCGCTTGCTCGGCGGGACTGATGGTACGCACCATTTATCAGTAGGGTATAGAGACTGGTAGAATATCATAGAGGGAAGCACAATAGATCAAACTGGCCACGGTGCATGAGGAAACCCACTCTCTCTAAATAACTAACTAACTATGGTGCGGCCTTAACCAGCATCACTTCATTCATGTCAGGAGGAACTTTCTCAGTAGCCCCTATGAAGAAGTAAAAATTGTTCATGTAAATCAGTCTGAAATCCCCTTACTAAAAAAGTAAATCATTATGAGCTATATAACACACAGGAAAGAATAATATTCATATGTGTTCAAAGCAGGTAAATTTTGGTAAATCTGAATAAAAAGAGGCATGTTTGTGTTGCAGATATCTGTGTTCAACCGCATAACTTTTGTTCATACCTTACACTTGAAAGCTACATGAAATGTTGTTTTTCAGTTACTTCAATGTACAGGGTTAGCCTAAAAGAAACAGTTTAAATGCTTTATAAATTAAAATTTCGACCCCCACTTTTCGTTTGTCTTTGCGACATCAGAATCACATGAGCACCCCTAATGTATGCCTCTAACCAGATGGACATGCAGCACTGGAATGAAGGAAGTAAGTAAGGATTTCTTTAACGGGCTAGTTTTCGGTGATGAATCAACATTCCACATTAGGGGTACTGTGAACAAACACGACATTCATGTATGAGGAACTGAAAACCCGAGAGCTGTAGTATAGCATGTGATGGATTCACCTAAAGTGAACGTTTTTTGTGCTGTATCCTGTAAAAAGGTGTATGGACCATTCTCTTTCCTTGCTGAGAAGCGTTTGGGAAGAACTAGACTATCGCATTGATATTTGTCCTGTTACAAAAGGGTCATACATAGAACACTTGTAACTTACCCATGTAAACTTCAGGGCGTACTTTTCAAACCATGTAAGTATCTCGGCCATGCTATTAAAACTCTTCTTTCTATAAAACTTTTGAAGTGTCTATTTCTTTTAGGCTAACCCTGTATTATAACAGAAATATCAAAACTTAAATTTCACAATCTTTTACATGTCAGCCTGCTACAATAATATGAATCCAGAATTTCATTTCACCAGGCACCTGCCATACATCACCAAAGTACCCCACCAACTAAATATTATGAACCTAAAATGTCTTTCATGTTGTCATGTTCATAGTATGAACCACTCAGCACAATGAACCACATAATGTAAACAGCATACATTAACCATTGGCTTCCAACAACATGAAAGAAGAGGAAAACGGTAACATTACGATACTAACACGGCAAGCAAATGCAGCAGACAGTAAAACAAATTTTGAAGAAGCCTATGCGTGATCTACTGCAGTAACCAACACAAAGCTACTCACAGCTTACAAGATTTTGAAAGATCATTTTTAAATATCAACTTGTGGATTTAGTATCACCTGATTATTAAATTGGGTTTAACCTATTTTTATATATAAGACTTTATCAGATGTACGGTTTTTATTCTGATTTTTAAGCAAATTGGACTTAAATTTGAGAAACAAACTAGTGAAATGCTACATTTGGAGCATTGCTTTGTATGGGGCTGAAACTTGGACACTTAGGGCAGCAGATCAGAAACACCTGGAAAGCTTCGAAATGTGGTGTTGGAGAAGGATGGAGAAGATCATTTGGACTGAATATGTGAGAAATGAAGAAGTGTTATTTAGAGTCAGTGAGCAGAAGAATATCCTACATGCAATAAGAAAACAGAAGGCTAATTGGATTGGTCATATCTTACATGGTAACTGCCTTCTAAAAGAAGTTATTGAAGGAAAGATAGAGGGGCAGATAGAAGTGACCAGAAGACGAGGAAGAAGACGTAAGAAGATGTTGGATGACCTTGGGGACAGAAGAGGATATTTTAATTTGAAGGAGAAAGCTCTAGATCGCATCAAGTGGAGGAACTATTTTGGAAGAGACTGTGGACCTGTCGTCTTGACAGATTACTGATGAATGAATGAATGAATGAATGAATGAATGAATGTATCTTATTGTTAATTTTAACCAAAGTCTAGTCTAAGTCTTGTCTAGTTTGTGAATTCAACAGGAACCAATTTGTACAAACCATTTATAAAAATGGGAATGTTAACATTGCAGGTCAGTAATACTGTGTGAGAAACTTGCAGCACCTGAAGATGACAATTTGAGGTTGAAGCCTGTAGTGCATGCTATATAAATAAATAGTAAAAGTATTGTTGTGTTAACAGTAAAAATTGTATATGTTCCTTGTACCGACTTGTACTATAATTGGTTCTGGTCAAACATGTAACGAGTCATGTCCTCCTTGTTACTATTGTTATGAAAAATAAATATATATATACAAAAAAGGCCTAGACATTTCCCGTCGGACCCAGTCATGTCATTAGTGTATATGAGAGGCCAGCGACATTTTCCATACATAATTTGAATGATTTGAGTGTCCTCACCTCAAGTGACTCTACTGTATGGACTCTAGATATTGCTAATGCATACAGGATTGTATGTTCTCACAACATCAAACAGGACAGAGGAGAAAGCTATTTTGAAAAGTACAGGAATGGCTTGTGTCCTTGGTTCCAAGAGATAAAAATTGGCCATCATGCCCTCGTGTCAATAAACTTTATGACAGAGGGCCACTCCAGTCTTAAATCATGCTTAAGTAGATCTGACATTCTATTCAGGGCAGAATGTGAATATGGTGACAGGCTGCAAAGGAAGGAACATATCTTCTGGGATTGTAAACTATACGAGGACCAAAGGGTAACATGGTGGACGTTTTGTCTGAGGAAAAAGATTTGTGCAAGGAGTCTGTTACTTCATAAACAGAGTTCCTATATTTATTTAAAGAAAAATAAGTAAATGTACAGAATATTAGTAGTATTAATAATAAAGATGAGAGATATATTAAAAAACCGCAGGGCAACATCTGTGTTAGAATAAGATGTTTATAAGACTGTGCTACAGAGAGCCGGGTGAATATTGCCTATGCCTTGTATATAAATTTATTTTTTCAAAATAAAAAAAAACGTTCTTGCAGCGATTGTTATGAAGAATATGCTACTTTCCTTTTCCCTGATTCATTCTCCAACCTCTAGCCAACTGCAGAGGTTGAGGCAACTGGTATATCAGAAATGTGAACGTGCGCACTCATTAACTGCACATACAACTACTCCTGTCTAGAGTCAGATGCAACACCGGTCGCTCATTTTTACCAATCATATCACATTTGTCTAAACCAATCACAGCCGCAAACAAACCAATTTTATTTCACGTTACATTGGTGGATAAATTGTGCATCGTTAACAGCAGCTATGGTGGTATATTATGTGGTAGTTGGTAAGTATGGATTTTGATTTGGTGGTGTGAAATGCAGTTGACGTTTACTCTTGAAGTTACATCTCCATGTTAAACATATTATTTGTGTATGTGAATGTTGTATCTACTACACCAAATGAAATTAGACATATATATCAAGCCAGAAATTCTTGTTATAATGACATTTCATCCAAATCATATTTATGTTGTGTGGTTCAGATTCTACTTCATAGTCAGTCCCAGAACCTCTTGTTCCTTCATTGCATCCCCCTTCCTTCAATCCTCTGTCCTCAGTTGTAGCTCCCAAAGACTATATTCATGTCATATCTACTACTAGAACCTAACAGCAAGACATTAGTGCCCTCTGCTGTTACACATATTCCTATCCATGCAGACAGTCTTTCCACTTCCTTTCAACTGTCTGTCCTGCAGCCATCACCAACAGAAGGCAACACCTTTGCAATGAAAGAAACATTTCTTTCCCCTGAGCTCTGAAATGTAAATGCATCTGATGGGAAACTTGGGCATATCAATCGTCAGAGTTCCTCCTTAACACCTAGAGCAAGGTATTTTCTTTGCTTTCAGAATTGGCACAAAGAAAAGGGAAATTATATGAACTTATTCGGAATAAGGAGAGGGCACTTTCTAAACTCAAACAGAAATATCGAAGGAAAGAAATTGTAAAAGCTGTGTGATCCACTGATGGAAGATCAGTCATCAGCCTTCAGTTTAGAGACAGCCAAATTTCTAGCAGGAAACTTAGGAACCGTAGACAGCCTAAGAGCAGGGGGTGCAATTTTGAAAACAAGGTGTTGGCTCTCTCTCTCTCCTTAAACGTAGCCCCAAATCCTATATCCTCTGCACACTACTCCCCCTCTCCAGATGATCCTTGCGATCTGTCCCGAATACTGTTCCATTTAGAACAGCCACCAGTGCTAATGTGTTCCATGATGCACTTCAGCACACACTGCAGAAAATATCTGGTAGAGATCAATAATGTTGTCTCATGTTTGATGAAATATCAGTGAGAGAGAACTTACATTTCAGTCAGAAGTTCAACTTCGTCGAGGGTTTTGAGGATTGTGGAAGTCAGGACAGGACACACATTGGAAATCATGCTTTAGTTTCCTTGATCCGTGGCTTACGTAGGAAGTGGATGGACCAAGGCATAAATGGTTGTGCAATAATTGAATGAGGTTATTGGCGCCTGTCAAAATGCTGGACTGAAGGCTGTTGCCACAATCTGTGACACAGCTCCCAGCAACGTCAAGGCCTTGAAGCTGTTCGGTAAGTGCATCCAAAATTTATTCGTGAAGCATGATCGTCATCATCATCAGTAATCTGTCAAGCCGACAGGTCCACAGTCTCTTCCAAAACAGTTCCTCCACATAATGCGATCTAGAGCTTTCTCCTTCAAATGACAGTATCCTCTTCTGTCCCCAAGGTCATCCAGCATCATCTTACATCTTCTTCCTCGTCTTCTTGTCACTTCTATCCGCCCATCTATCTTTCCTTCAATAACTTCTTTTAGAAGGCAGTT